CCAGCGCCCGACTTAACACCTCTTTGTTGAATGGGAGACTGTATCAAGTGCCCACAACACACCAGGCATGTGCTTTGTAAGTGAACGTGTACCGGACCTGCACAACAGCCCCAAAACAGTTCTCGCTTCCACTTTACAGACTCAGAAACCCAGTGAGGAAACGACTCTCCCTGCACCAAAAAGTGAGGGCACGTGGAGATGGAACATGCACGCGGCCCTATCTGACTTTTCCCGCTGCTCCAGACTGCCTTCCAGACCACGTCTTACCCAGAACCATCAAGGCCTCAGCAGACCCGAGACCCACCCCCTGCATAAGTGTGACATGTCAGAATCACGTGTTCCCTGGTCATCTTTGTTTAAACTCTCAAGACACTGGATTTAAGGAAAACCCTGCTGAAATGTCCAGATGGCTCTAACACAATATCTGTATGGCATATTATTATTATTATTATTACTATTACTTCACTTAAGTCTGTATTTACGGGGGAAATGGAAACAAATCCGTCCCGCAGGCTGGATATTGCACTGTTAGCCCAGCGGTTGGTGAGGACTGGAGGGGAGAGAGACGGCAGTAGTGGAAAAGGTGGGCATTGGGCCAGGCAACAGAAAATGCACCTGTTAAAGTGACAGTGGAGGTATCTCTCCAACCATCTAAAAGCATCACCTGAGTAAAAGGACAGGCGTCATCGCAAGGCCCACCAGAGCAAGGTCAGTGAGCCACAGTCTCACCAGTAAAGCCTGGAGTCCACAATATCCAGACACCGTATGAGGCACTTGACATGTGTCACATAGTTTAGTGCTCAGGACAACCCTCTGTGACAGGTACTACTTTATCCTCATTTTAGAAATGAGAAAGCTGAGGAACAGAGAGGCCCAGGAACTCGCCCCAGGTCCAACAGCTGTCATGTAGCAGCAGGAGTCGCCCTGTCTTCCATGTGGTGCTCTCCAAGCACTCATGCAGCTATGAGGTCCATGTCACCAACAGTTCCTTCCAAGCTCACAAGCTCCCCCACCCCTGCTGCAATGTCCATTTCCTGCAGCTTTTCTTGAGGAGGAGGAGGAGGAAGTCATCTCTGAGCAGAACACAATGGTTCAGGGATGCAGGGCATCCTAGAAATTAAGGAAGAGGAAAATGCCAACCCCATCAAGGGCAGTCCATGCCCAGTGATGACCAGACCAGTGTCCTTCTATCCCATAAACCCAGCGAATGCTGTAGGTCCCGTCCTTGGCTTGGGGATTCACAACCCAATGGCAAAGATTGCCACTGACCTTTGCTTAGACCAGCAGTTCCCAGATGTATTCAACCCCATAAGCCTACTCCAAGAAACTCCCATCCACACTTCCAACAAACTTGGAGAAATGCTCACCCAACCTCAGAGCTTCTAGTGCAAAACAGGGGTGTGTGGGAGAAGAAGCCAGGAGAAGTTTCCCTGAGGTGAAAGCCCCAGCATGGCTCGACCCCTATCACTCCCAGATCCCTTCGCAAGGTGCCTTCTCTCAGCAGCACGCCTGAGCACCCCTGCCTCATGGACCTGGCTCCAGCAGGCCCCATGTGAGCAGGACACTGGGGAAGCAACACCCACTGCCCCTTGGGAATTCCCATTGGCTTTGCTCTCTGGGGACTTCACACCCAGCCCACTAAGTTTACAGCCTGAGAAACTGTTATAGAAAAGAGCCAGCACATCAAGAAAGCTGGACAGGATGACCCAGAAGGCCAGGACCTTGCCCATGCCAGTCACCCTGGCCCTGGAAATGATGAACAGAACCCCTCAGGTGCCCGTGGAGACTGACAGTTTACCAAGTGATCTCACAGACATGACATCATTGCATCTTTCTAAGAATTAGGTACTGTCATTACCTCTCCCAGCATGCTGAAGAGGAAAGGGAGTCTTGAAAAGGTGAAGGTCCAAGATCACAACAGGGTATAAGTGGTGACCAGGTCCCTGGACTTCAAACACACTCTCGGGAGCTGGCCCCATGCATCACCCTGCCACCTACCCTGCTTACTTGTGGAGTTGGGATCTGGCCAAAGGCTGGAAGAGGAAAAGATGAGGGGAGGACTAACTTGGCAGCCCTGGTGGTACAGAGAGGGAAGGTTTCAAATTGAAACAGCAAAGGCAGTTCACATGATAGTCTTCTGTGGTTTAACGTGTCCCCTCCAAAATTCAGGTGTTGCCAATGTCACAGCATTCAGAGGTGGGCCTTTAAGAGGTGGTTAGGCTGGGAAGTCTCCTCCCTCATGAAAGGTTAAGGGCCCATGGAAGGGGTGCCATGCAGTGCTCAGCTTTTGTTCAGGCTTCCACCTGTGAGGACACACAGACCATGCCACCCACAGCAGACAGCTGAGCTTGGGGAGACTTGACCTTAGACTTCCCAGCCTCCAGAACTATGAGAAAATGCATCCTGTTCTTTACATCCAGTTTCATGTACTTTGTTATAGCAGCATAAACATGTGAAGACAGAGTCTTGGACAACAGCAGGGTTGGTTTCGGTTTTGCAAAAAAGGAGGACGCACGTGGGAGAGACAGGTGCCCCTCCCCAGTGCTAGCAAATCTGACAGAGCATGGCTGCCCTGGGCTAGGGAGCAGCTGCCCAGGGGTCTGAGGGTAGGTAGAGACACATCCCTGTCACAGGGCACCTCATCCCGCACCAGGGGCCACTCCCCCGGGTGAGGTCTCACTTTCTCAAGAGAATGTGCATCCCACTGACATCCCTGTGACATGGCTGTTGCTCCAGAATCAATCACGGAGTGATTCTCTTGGTGCTGAGAACAAATGTTGCTGTCTGGACTGCCGCTCACAGTTCACAGCTCACATGGTGACTTTTCTCTGAGGTCCTGTGAGGTGGGGACTCCTGGGCGCACAGCCATGGGCAGCCAGTCACACCAGGTCCTTGCCCAAGCAGGGAGTCTGGTTTCAGGGGCATCCTAAAGACAGGGCATCCGTGAAGTTCCCCCATGTTCCCAAGTTCTTCCCGATGCCAATGTGAGGGTGTGGATGCGCATGTGAGTGTGTCCTATCAGGACGGAGGACCAGATGGGCCGTCAGCCCTGCCTTCCGCGTGTGGTTTCCTGCTTAGCTGGGATGCCTGGCTGAGCTACGCCTGGTTACCTCCTCCCAGCTCTCCTCCCAGGCCCCAGTGGCTGGTACTGTGGCAGGGGGGCATGGCTGCGAGCAGCTGGACCCCTGGGCTGCGTGGGGCCTCTTCCTGACAGGACTGCAGATGCCTGAGAGCCAATGCCAGCCAGCGCCACCCTGCTGCCTGCTGAAGATCCCCATGTGCCTCCTGCTTCTGTGGGTGCCCGGGGGACAGAGGCTGTGATGTCTCCCACATGCAGCTCATGCTCCAGGAGACTTGTTGAACGGTGGAACTGGAGGCTTGGGTCATCAGCTCAGTGCAGGCCTGGCTTCCACTGTGTCTAGTCCGAGGTCCCCACAGTCCCCTCCCTTGCCTCTGTGAAGGTCAGCAGGACCTTAGCCAGTACTCTCTGGCTCCTTTGCCACTTTGAGCTTCCAGCCAGGGCCGTCCTGGCTCAGAAGATGGCACAGGAGGCTTCACCTGACAGCTGAGATCCCCCAGGACACCGAGTCTGCTGCAGTAAGGTCAGGTGCAGAACCAGGTCCCCCCCCACTGGATGCCATGATCTAGTGCACCAGCCCCAAAAGCTCAGTGTTCTTTAATTGGCTTTTGCAGAGGCCCAGCCAGTTTGGGAAGAGTAAGGAGGCAAAGATGTTGAATGAAAGGCCAGGAGCTTGTCTGCCTTTGCCAGACCACAGGGGGACCTATGGGGCCCAGAGGCAAGAAGCAGGGGCCAGGAGGCACCACTGGCTGGGGAGAGCTACTGCTGGCCAGGGAGAGCTACAGCAGACCCCTTGTCCCCAGCTGTCTGGCTCCCCAGACCCTACATGCTCACACCAGCCCTCCAAAGTCAGGAACCCCTGGGCTGAGTCCCTTCAGCAACTTCCCTGCTTGGACACTCCCGATGATGACAACTCACCACCTCCCAAGACAACCTTCCACTGCTGCAGGAAGGTCTCCCACCTGCTGAGTTGCTCCAGAATCAATCATGATCTCCACCCTTTGGGACAATTCTTCCTCCCCATGACATCCCTTCAAATGTCGGGATTCACATATCAGTCTTCCCCAGACTAAACCTCCTGTCTCCCCCGTGTGTCGCCATTTCCAGCCCCTCCTCCTCCTCGACACTCTCTCCCCTGCAGGAACTCAGTCCCCCTGACCTATGCTCTGAGGCGTGACCACAGCTCTTGCAGGCTGGTCTGGCGTCAGTTCCCTGGGCTGAGACTAGGCTGTGACCAGCGTGGCTTAACGTTGCAAGAGCTTCTCGGGCAGCCAGGTGGTGCCTTAGAAACCTGCTGCTGCTGTAGGAACTGGTGAGGTCTGAACTGTGCTCTGGAGGCTTCGGAGGCTCCTTGGAGACCATCTCGGGCTACAGGGGTTCGGGAGGCTAGTGGGCAGGTGCGTCGGGCTCTGGACCCTTCCCTCGTCTAACTGGAGCAGAGCTCCTGCAGCCCCTCTTACAAACAGGGCTTCCACCTGAGCTCCTACAAAAGCTGGATCTGAAGCAAGAGCATCACAGTGCAAACATTTGCAAGCACGGTGCGACCCAGCATGATTCCACCTCTGCCACACGTGCTCTCTGAGCTGTGGCTCCCCGTTCACGTTGTGCAAACACCCCAGCTCAGGCCAGCACCGAAGAAAAGCGCCATTGCCCCCGACTGGGAGACCCAGGGCCCTCTGCTCTGCTGGGGCCTGGCTGGCTCTGCTACCCCAGCCCGCCTTGAGACCCTGGCTCTGCTGTGCGCCAATGAACCAAGTGGTCTCAGGGAGGCTGAGGGGGCTCGCACACTCCTGCACACAGTGAGGCCTGGGCGTCCTGAGGACCCAGGGCCGGGGCGGGCGACACCAAGGGAGTGTGCGGCACTGAGCGGTCCCAGGTGGAGGGCGGGTCGGCCGCGGCGGTGGCGCGGCGGGGCACTCACAGGGCAGCGTCTCGGCGCTGTTCTTCTGGATCATTATGCAGAGCTGTAGCACCAGTTGGGGGGCGCTCTCCAGGAAGGTCTCGAGGAGGCGCAGCATGTTGACGTCTGCATATTCGTACATCATAGCCCAGTAGAAGCGTCGCTGGTGTTCCTTCCGCCGCTGGCTCTGGATCCCCAGGTACATGGTGCGGATGTACCTGCCGAGAGAGAGGGCACAGAACACAGAAACCATGGGTAGGGGCGCGGCTGCAGACGGACACTGCCGGCCCTAGCACCAAGAGCCGCCTGCGCCAGCACCCCCCGCCCCCTCACCACTTGTGCCCTGAAGTTCCCAGAGACTTGGAAGGGCTGTGGGCTTCTCCCAGCCCCGGGGGCACCATGCTGAGGCATGCGGGGTTGGGGGTGTTGGGGGGGCAGGACAAGAAAGCAATCTGACCCACCTGGGACCCCAGGCAAGTCCCCCACTCCTGGCCCCCACGCGCTCATGTGTAAAACGAGAGAGGGAACCAGAGGGTCTCCCAGGGCCTGCCAGCTAAGCATCTCAGGGGAGCTCAGAGAGCAGGTGGGCTTCCTCAGGTTCAGGGCCACAGGAGAACATTCCGGCAGGGTGTCACTCTATTGCTCTGGAGGAGGAAGGGAAGGGCATCAGCACCTGTGAAGCTCCTGCTAAGTGCCATTCGCTGGCTGGCCATACACAGGTGGTAAGCAGGTAGGTGTGACTCTCACATATGACAGATGGGGACAGCTGGGGCTCAAAAAGTGCCCTCTCCTGCACAGGCTCCCATAGTTGGATGGGGGGGCAAGTGGGAGGTCCCAGGCCACTGGACACCCAGGTCTGTGCACCCATCTGTGCAGCCCGGGGAGACGGAGCCAGCAGCACCACCCCCATCCAGACACAGCCCAAGATGCAGTCACGGACCCACTGACCCCTCTCCCGGGGACCCACCCAGGCCCCACTGGGGAGGAACAGAGCAAGGAGGTGGGTGTCAGTGGAGGGCACAGCTCATGGGACAGTCTTGCTGGTGGTGGAGACTTGAACTAATGACTCCAACTCTATGCTTGTTACCATCTTTAGAATGGGTGCATGGCCAGGTGGGTGGGAAGGTTCAGGAGAGCATACGTGTGGTGGGCACTCAGCATGGTCTACATCAGAACACCCCCAGCCTCGTCCTCTCCTGAGCTTTCTGGAGCTGTCTCCAAGCCATGGACAAGAGCAGGAGGATTTTAGGTACCGTCTAAACTCGGCCAGGGGTCTCTGAGGCCGGGTCAAAAAGCATAGCTTGGGGCCGGCCCGGTGGCGCACTGCTACAGTGCGCCGCTTGGGAGTGTGGCGGTGCTCCCGTTGAGGGTTCGGATCCCACATACAGACTGGTTCCCGCTCACTGGCTGAGCGAGGGGCGGGCGCAGCACTGAGGGTTGCCGGTCCCGGTCCGGTACGGGTGCAACACTGAGGGTTGCGATCCGTTGCCAGACACGAAAAAAGACAAAAAGGAAAAAAAAAAAAAAAAAGCACAGCTTGGTGGAGGATCCCAGTTAGGATCAAGAACAGGAATCATAAGCCGGGTGCCATAGCCAGCAGGAGGGAACCTGGCTGTCCCCTGGGAGTGAATGTCCCACAACACATGGCTGTGCCTTCTAAAACACCACACCTGGACACGCACACGGAGTGCACAGCTGACACCCTGTGTAGGCCCAACTGTCCCTGGGACTTGTCAAGTGTTCACTTGGGGCTGTTCTGTCCCCGTGTCACTGTCAGCCTAGTCCTGGCCCCAGTCCTCTTGCCTGGACTACTGCAGAATCCCACTGTCCTTTCTTGCCCCGGGACAGCCCCTTCTGCACCTGGCAGCCAGAGTGCAGTCATGCCAGACCTCTTCTCTCAACTCTCATGGCTCCCTCTGTGCTCAGAACAAAACCCAAACCCTTTCCGTGGCTCCGGAGCCCTGCCGCCCCTCCATCCTCCCCTTCTGTCCCCTCCGCCCTCTTTCTCAGCTCTCTGCCTCTTGCTGGAGCTGAGATCCGTGGGAGCAGGGATCTGTCTACGGCTCCCTGCACATCCCCAGGGCTGGGGCGGTACCGGGCACACCTCAGGGCACGTGGGGAGAGAGTGAACCCAGAAGGAAGACGCCTGTCCTCCAGGGCTGAGGAGTCCCTGCAGGACAACTGTTGCAACACATCACAACTGGCTCCTGCCCATGTTTGCAGAAAATCTATGAGATGACTCGTAAGGGTAATCCTGGAGAGGAACTGTCAGTCCCCACAGGGCGGTGGGAGAGTGGGGGCTTTGCACGAGGACTCTGCATGGCGCTACACAGAGTGCCTCGAGAGCTTTAGAAGCCAAGATACAAAAGCACACATTTGCATCAGAATTTAAAGCTGTTGAGTGACGTCCCTGTCCAATGGCAAAACAGTGGGCCTCACTCCAGAGTGCTGATCATGTACTGACCCCAATGGACCAGAGCCCAGGTCCCCGAGAGGGACACCAGCTTGTGACACTCCCTTCTGACCCACAGGTGTGACCTCAAACACACGTGCTGATAGCAGTGCCCCTGCTCCACACCTGATGAGTGGCTTTCTCTCTGGGCTCATGAGAGACTCTGAGGAGGGTCTGGGTGACTGTATCCTGCAGGGACCCACCCAGAGAAGCAGGGTGGGGACAGGACCCCACTGAGAACCAACATGGAGACTGCTCTGCAGTGGCAGCACGTCAGGGAGAACCGCGGGAGGAGGCTCCTGCAGGCGTGCCATCTCGTGGAGTCCCTGGCATGCCTGGTGGGGCAGGTCTGGTGTCACCATTTAACACATGGGGAAACTGAGGCTTTGAGGTGAAGTTATGGTTCTGTTCCAGGGTTCTGTGGCACTTCCCACAGCTGATGTCTCTCTGGGCCCCTGTCTGCGAATTCATACAATCAAGGAACCAGGGGAGAGGCTTGGGAAAGGGAGAGAGGTTGTTGTACCTGATCTGTAAAGCCACAGGGTCACCAGAGAGGGGAAGAGAGAGTGAGAGAGAGACAGGGGAGACAGACCAAGACACAGGGAGGAGAGGGAGATAGAGAGACCAAGAAAGGCATCCACACAGACAGAGCCGGAGAGAACAGAGGGGCAGAGGGAGACCGAGAGAAAGGAACAGGCAGACAGACAGACTGACAGAGAAGTGGGAGGGGACAGAAGGAGGAAGGGGAGAGAAGAGAGGGAGGTGGTGTCAGGTGTGGGACCTGAAGGAGAGGACCACCTGGACAAGCGGATACAGCCATACACGGGGGCAGCAAAGGGCCCGTGAGCAGATGTGGTCATCAGGAATTCGGGAGGGGTGGGGATGTCAGACCCTGCACGGAAGGCAGAAGGAAGCGTGGACATGCTGACTGCTTGGGGACACAGAGCACCAGGGGACAGGGACGCTCTGGCTGGGGCACTGAGGCTCCACACCAGCATGCAGGACAGCCATGCACCCAGTGCAGCCTCGGTGCTCTGAGTCTCCCAGATCAGAGGTGGTCCCTGTGACCCAAAACTCGGCCCTCCCCACAGGCAGCGCCTGCAGCAGACAATGCCATGGGCCACAGACTCACCCCAGAGACCAGACACAAATCCACTCTGCCTCTCCTGGCCTCACAAGTGGCCCAGCTGCTGGGAGAATGATAATACGGCAGACTGAAGCCTGTCCACCTGGGTCACAGGACAAGGCAGTGACCACACTCAGGGTCACCTTGATCCACCCCACCAAGGCAAAAGGAGGCACTGACTCTGCCCCTCCACCCCCACCTTCCACAAGCCACAGCCCCTCTGCCCACCGAGGCCAGAGCAGAAGAAAACGACGGGCCCAGAGCACGCTGGTCCCACTAGCCTGCGTGCCAGGGAAGCCAGCCTCACACCTCTCTTGCAAGAGCATTCCAGGCAGCGGGCAGAGCCTGAGCCTGTCCTCCTTGCACCAATTAGCAAACACGCCGGGGCACTGAGTGCACAGGGTCAAATCAGAAATTGAGTGTGGGGCCGGCCCGGTGGTGCACTGCTACAGTGCGCTGCTTGAGAGCACGGTGGCGCTCCCGCCGAGGGTTCGGATCCCACATACAGACCGGTTCCTGCTCACTGGCTGAGCGAGGTGTGGGAGCAACACCGAGAGTTGCGATCCTGTTGCCGGTCCCGGTCCGGTGCAGGCGCGACACTGAGGGTTGCGATCCATTGCCGGACACGAAAAAAGACAAAAAGGAAAAAAAAATAAATAAAAAAAGAAATTGAGTGTGGACACCACACCTCCTCGTCACTAGTGCACACAGACTCTCGCCCTAGAGTCGGAGCTGAATCGTAGAGTCCAGTTCAGGGTGTCCTGACCCCAGGCCCACAGCAAATGCTCACACCTGTCCACTCCTCTGGCTCCTGCACCCTCCTCTTCTACCCTGAAGTCCTTAGGGCCCCAGTAGACAACAGAGGGGCTGGACACCAATCTGGTCAAAGCCCATTTACAGGTGAGAACCTCAGTGCTGGAGAGTGAGCAGATTCCAGTCTCAGCCACTCAGTGACTATGGGCAGAGCTGAGGGCCTCGACTCCCTTACCCTGCTCACCCCCCACAGCACATGCAAAGCCCCTGCCCATCATGCCCAACAACCCCGGCAGCTCTTGCAAACACACTGCTGCTAGCATCCTCAGGGGCTCTAGGATTCTTCCTCCTCTTTCTCCAAAGTTCCTCCGGTGTCTGCCTCCTTCACAGTCTAGGGAGCTGCCAGGAAACGACCAGGTGGGTGGAGTGGGAGCAGCGCATCTCTCCTAAAAACCCCGTGCCAGTCCTGTTCTCTCCCTGGATCTCAGTTTCCCTGCATGTGAAATCCAGACTGCATATGGGTGACCTCTGAGGCTGCCCTCCAACCCCTCTGCAAACACAGATGGCTCGGCCCACGGCCACATGGTGGAGCCAGACCCTAAGTGTCGCAGGACGGCTGCTCCTCACTGGTGATCTGATCTCATACATGGGGTACAGGGGGTGCCCGTGAGGTCTCCGTGCAGATCGAGGTGTGCAGGGCCCTGAAGGGAAGTCACAGCATCTCCGTCCACAGGAGGCACAAGATTGGTGGCCATTCCTCCAAACCCACACCTTCACCCTCCCTGGCAGCTTCCAGGAGAGCTCACCTCCCCCGGGAAGGTAGCTCAGGAGAGAAGACACCCAACTCTCTCCTCCTGGGTTTGCGTCCACAACCTGCCCCCAA